CAATATGAAATCAGATGGAAATGTTACCTCTTCTTAGGAGATGAGGGAGGAAATTCTAAGAATGGAAGGTGTTGGGGGTGGTCTACGTTCATCAAGGATGGAATATTGAAATCTGTATACAAAAGTCATTCACTGTGGTGAAAAGAATGTATATAATCAGCATTTGGGACTTCTCTTGTTAGAAAAGACTGGAAAAAAAAAAAAGACGAATATGATAAAATAAGATTTTTTACATTATTTGAAGACCCATAATAAATTGGGAAAATAAGGTTGACATTTGAAGGAAAGAAAAATCGTTTTACTGGTGTTTATTGGTTGAGAGAATATCGCACTATTCAGAGGTGGGTAACATATGCAAGTTCGTCAGGACCACGAAGCCTCATTTGTAACATTATCGCAATTATTATTATAACATTGAAGCATTATTGTTGTATCGGATATCGTAGTAGCGAGAGTTTATTATTACTGTTGGTTTTTGTTTTTCCTTATGGGAAATCAGAGTGTGCTTTGAAAGCTACCCAATGAAAACAAAAACTCGTTTGTTCCGAAGAAAATTATCAAAAAGTGTCATTAATAAGTAAACAGGGATGCTTCAGAGAAATGGATTATCTCGGCGTTGGGGGAGGGGGAGGGAGTTATCTTTTGCTTCCACTGAAAAGTGTGTATTTGAATAAATAAACACGGTTATGGGTAACTTTTAATCCTTCATTTTTATGTTCAGCCATAAAAAGGACACAAAGAAACGGAATTATTTTTAACTCCCTCTTCTTTTAAAAATGAAAATAAAATTCGTACAACCGCCCTTTCGATATGATAAACATTAAATTCATCTTTTAAACAAACATTAAATGGGGGGGGGGGGATATTCTCAAAACAATTTTCGCACTTTTCCACTTCAGGGGAGATAATACGGGGGAAAGGGGGATGGGGTGGAAGGAACGATAAGGTGGACACGTGACTCCAACGTTGTACCCGACTATGAATAAAATTTGCGCACGGATGCTCCCTCTAATCCAACCATTGGATTCTACTGCAAAAGGAATAGGGTCACGTGGCCATCCCCCCACAGGGCGTCGAGGCGTTAATACCTGGGCGCCAACAATGAATTATATGGATGAGCAAACAACATTTAATAGAATTGTTCGACGATAGAGATTTCTCATGCGATCCAACAACAGCCCCTCTTTTATTTTATTTGTGTAGATATATTTTTTAAAGTATTCAATAAGAATTTTTTTTTTTCAAACTCTAAATCAAGTGGTGTGGAGGGTCCTGCAGTCAATAGAAAGAACATCGGTACTTTAAAATGGTTTCGAAATTAACTTTTAAGTTTCCAAAGGTAAGGTCATAACGGTATACATTTTAGTGTTTTAAAGCATACAGTTTTGTCCCTGGCCACATTATGAGACACACTATAGGATTCTATGTAAAATCTTCATGATCAGGAGAATACAGCATTATTGTTCTTACACGTCTGACGATCCAGGAGTTTCCTTGTCTTCTGGATTGGGTTCAAAATGGCGAGGCTGCGGAGTTGAACATGGGTTGTCGTAAACCCATAAAATTGAGTTCAACGACGGTTATCATAAATAGGAAGTCTATAAAAAATCTCCCGAATAAAAAGTATTGCGTATAAACTCGCGGACGTAAACTTCCATCTAGATTTATCATTATAGAAAGCAAAGGATAACATTACATCTGACAATGCTTACGACCCTCCTGTCCGAAATATATTTTAATTCATTTTCTTATTTCCGATTTGTATTCAAATAAATATTTAATTACTGTCGAATAAATATTCAATAATGAACAATTTGAAATCTGTCTCAACCGTCCAAATCAAAAACGGTCGTTACATTCTGTTTATTATTGTTCTGCTTTTCTTAAATTATTATTACTCTCTTTTAATCTTTGAAAGATCCGGTATTTTTCTGCATATCCTTCCTGAAAACACACCACCACATCCTGCTTTACATTTATATTTCCTTCCAAGAAACTATAATAATGAATTCAATTCTGTTTTGAGATTCTAATAAAAACGTTCTTTTCTCCCTCTTCTGTATGAATGAAAATCTAAAATTTTTTTTTTAATATATTGTTAAAAAAATGTTTTTTTAATTGAACACAATGTCGTTTAAACACAAAAACTAAAACACAATGTTGTTTAGAAGATTGTTAGTCGCAGAATTTTTCATGAATTCATTAACCGCTTCCCTTATCAATTTGTTCGAGAAAAAAAGCGCAAAAAATTTTAGCTGTTTTTTTATTTCCTTAATAAATACAAGTAACAAAAGCAAAACATAATACAGACGCTTTAAATTTTTTTTATCAATAAAAACATTTAATTTACCATCAGGTTTACTCTCCCGAATTATCTAGGGCGAATGAAAAAAGTTAAAGATTAGTCTTTGTCAGATAGTTTTTAAAACACTGGACAACACAAAGTGATTTTTTCCAAATGTCAGTGAACTGATACGCCTTTTTCATTGACTCTTTTTTTTTAAATGTAAAGTCAGTTGTTGTTCATTTACGTCGCACTAGAGCTGCACAATGGGCTATTGGCGACGGTCTGGGAAACATCCCTGAGGATGATCCGAAGACATGCCATCACAATTTTGATCCTCTGCAGAGGGGATGGCACCCCCACTTCGGTAGCCCGACGAAATGCACTCAAAGAAATCGAGCACTTTACGGTAGAACAGTTTAACGAGGACCTATACCGCACTCCCTCCGTCCCTACGCAGACTGACCGCAGCCAGTGATGCTTGACTTCGGTGATCTGCTGGGAACCATGTCTTAACGATCAGTCCACTGCGGAAGAAAGTCATTAACCATCTTATATACAATTGCACATAACACGTGTCCCACAATCCAACGGCAAAACTTTCAAACAAACCTTAGCAAACATTCAATCATTATGTTTTTATTTTGCTTTTTGCTTCAAGACGAGTAAAAACGTGATGAAAACAAAATGAACTGACAAATTCTGTTACGCCCGAGTTTTCTCGGGATGATAAATATTTACAATATATACACTCCCGAGTTAACTCGGGAAAATACGGGAAGCGGCTAAATCCTAATTACCATTTTCATGTTTCTGTTCCATTTTTCTGTTTTAAAAAGTAAATAGTGAAATGTATGAGTGGGTCGATAACTTGAACTTTTTCGTGATCACCCTTTATGACGTGTTCACTGAATCATCTATGACAGTGATTCTCAACCACTGTGCCGCGGCACTTTTGTGTGCCCTCAAATTCTTAAAATGTGCCGATAAATATTAGAAATGATACAATAAAAATTATAATGCTTTTTTTTAAATTTTGAGTAAAGTTTAAATTAATGAAAAGTGTATACTTTTTATAATTTTTCCTCGCTTTAACAGCATGAACATCTTTGTTGGCGATTGTTTTGTCTCTGACATTCTTAAAATAAGATGGAAGTGCTTAAATTGTATATGACACACAATTTTAAAAAATTTTGTAAGAGCTAATCATTAAAGTAAGCTATGCAATTAATAAACAAATTAACAAAGGATAACTAAAAAAGCAAATTAACAGAGGATAACTAACAAAAATTAAGCTAGTTAACAAGAAATCACAAAAAAATAACAGTTAATGTAAAAAAAAACTAACAATTAATAACTATAGAAAACAAGCTAACAATTAATAACTAGCAAAAAAATAAATAACTGTTACTAACTAATAAAAAATGGGTCGAAAGAAATAATTAATCCCTTAATAAATGTGCTTTTGTAGTACATATTATTTTATTTCACATTCAAAATTATAATCACAAACTATTTAACACAGTGTATAATAGGTAATTAAACAACTTTTAATCTAATTTTTTTCATTGTGTGCTGTCAAATTTCGAAACCGTTAAAAGTGTGCTGCAACAAAAAAAAAAGGTTGAGAAAAACTGATCTATGAAATGAACCATTTTGTGACACTAGCGACCCGATATGATACGGATGTGATTTCAATGCGGTACTCTAGTATTAGTACTGGTAAAGTTGCGAGGAAGATTTCCGTCAGTCGTGAAGTGGTTGATTTAAAAACTGCTTCTAAAATTACAATATCAGAGAATGTATTTAAAAAATGATCACTGGATCTTATTTTCGAAAGATTAAAATAAATAAATAAAGCACGCTGAATATATTCGGTACAGTTATGAGCTTTAGGTACTTTTTATTTTATACTTTAGTTTGCAATTGGAACATCTTTTTGTAATAATCACCTATAATGTTTAATTTCGAAGTCATTCTTATTTTCTTTTCAGAGAGGCAAGCGATTAGATTATTGAACAACTTTTTGAATGTCATCATAACTATGGAAGCATAACCACCATTATTTTTCTCATCTTTATTTTATTTTGTAGGCTTGGAAAATTGCGATGCCCATTTTTGGAAATCGCAACAAACAATTCTTTAAAAAAAAAAAAATCAAATGAGCTGAATTGTACGAAAGCAATTCTTACTTAAAAAGAAAAGAGAAATAAAAAAAAGTTTGTCGCAAAAAAGGGCACCTTTATTTTGAAAACTTTTAAAGTATGGGTCCTCTCTCAAAATAAAAGCCATCATCAAAGTTGGCTTATTAGACTAGTGCAAGCGGAACTTTTAGGTAGTCAACTTTTACAATATAGTTATATAATAATAGAATTATTTTATCAGCTTCTCGACGTTGCATTATTCAATTATTTTTTTTACCACTTTTGTTCTCAACCAAGAACTTTCTGACACGTGCACTCATGACTTAACTTTCCCGAGATCTTTGCGAACGATGTTACCAGGTTTCCATCTTAAAATGTTCTGATTTTTACAAGCAAAAAAAAAAATGGTTGCTCCTTTGGTAGAGTTTCCTTTGCAAGCCTTTCTTATCACATATATATTATGCCATCTGTGCTAATCCAACAATGCAACGATAATGACGTACTAGCAGCAGAAGTATTGCACTCAATTCTTAATGATCCTCATTACTTTTTATTAAGTGTGAGAAACAAAATAATTTATTTTTTCTTTATTTTGATCTACACAAATATACAGAAACGTCCAACACATTTTCAAACACATCGTTAAATCTATGTCGTAGGTTAATTGAATGAACAGGGATCTTTGCAAACACCCATCGTCATTTTATGGTGCATCAAGCTAATTGGAGAAGAATTTTGAAATCAGCCAGACATTTTTATGGATCATTGCAAAGAGCATAGATACCTTTCGAATTAGAAGAATGTAATTTTTAAGCGAGATGACTCATTGTTCAATGAGTTTCATTTATTTCAGCTAGTTAGCAATAAATTTATAGAAAGCTTATTGCAAATAATCACATATTAAAAGTTTAATAACAATCAAATTCATTCTGATTCCTTACACATTGTCTGATTAGCACAAAGATACATCGGAGATGATTGGCCTGAAGGTATATAAAGAGCCATTATCCTAAAGTATTGTAATTTGTAATGAAAATTTATTGCAATGGGCCGAAACAAATTCCATCAGAAACATACAGATTCATTGTGTCAAGCCTAAAAAATCTCTGGCAGGTAAAAAAATAATAAAATAAATAAATAAATAAAAGTTAAGCAGTAAAAATATTTCTAATGAGTCCTTTGCATTGGAAAACAGCAGCGACGTTTGCAAGAAGCCAGATTTTTCAACTAGCCTGACGGCACTTGTTTTAGTCTTGTTTTTCAGTTTGATATAGAGTACTGAATGATGTTTGAAATAACAAAGAAAAGTTTTAATATATCTACATCCAATGTATGTACAGTGTCGATTCTATTCTCAAAAGACTCTCTCCTCTTGTCCATCTGTGTGGTTGGATTCACTGCTGAGACTGGACGCGGGAGAACTGGCTTCGGAGAGTCCGTCCTCGTGATGTTCCGCTTTTATACAGTTCGTCCTCACCCCGCTCCCCGTCCCTTCCTCACAACTCGGATCGTTCCTTTTCTGGTACTCCAGTATCGAACTCAGGAGTTTTATGTACTTGATGGCTAACCTCAAGATCTCGTTTTTGCTCAGCTTCTTGTCCGGCGGGTGGGTAGGGACCAGCCGCCTCAGGTCAGCGAACGCCCCGTTCACGTTCTGCTGTCTCCAGCGCTCTCTGCTGTTCGTGAACATTCTCCGGACGAGTTTCCTCGGGACGCCACCCCTACTCTGTGCGGGCGGAGAAAAGTCACCCCTCTGCACCAGGGCCGTAGAATGACTGCCGCCGGTCTCCAAGGGAAGTCGACAACGGCGTCTGGACAACCTGTTCCTGAAACAGAAGGTTACTTCAAACGCATGCAATTATTAAAAAGAATATTATACTTCACACTTAGTTTCAGTGTTTCAAAAGGAAAAAGTGAGCCAATGAACGATATACTTTTGAACATCTTGCACCGTTAAAAAAAATGGTAACTGTCGTTGTAGAGTAGAAAAAAATTATTATAAAGCATTGCGTGAAATAAAGATTTTTACTTACGTTTTAATTTAAAATAATAGCTTCGTAAGTTCAGTTTTGCTTTATTTTATAAACATACATCATCGTGTCTATGGAAGTCATGCTCATTTTCGAAATCTTGAGTTGAAAAATTATACTATCGTTCCAGAAATACAGATTCAATAAATTATTTAAATTTCTAAGCAGCTCATTTACTTTAGTAAAATATATTCTGTGCATGTTAAGCGTTAACCTAATACATCTGGCTATTACTAACAATAACAAAACGTTATTTTGATAAAAAAAAATTAATAGCAATCAGTAAATGATACCAGTAAACCATACTTGATTATCATTAGTAATAACCGGTAGTATTGACCCATTCATTACACTGACCGTAACACATATACCATAAGTTAATTAAGAAATTCGGTTTGTTGCAAATGTTATCGGCATTTTTCTATAAAATTGGAAATAGTTTTAGCTTTCTGTCTGGCTCATCACAATCAAAACTCATATAATAAGTTCAAAATGTAGAGAAAACATGGAAAAAAACATAGAATAATGAAAATAGAAAAGAAAATAGAAAATATATATATATAAAGGATAAGATTATGTATAGAGTAGAGCACATGAGCACTCTTTTGACAATCATTTTGCATAAATGTGGCTGTTGATGAATTTCCTCCATCAACGCATGGGTAGATGTGGGCTTGTTGGCTTCAAGTAACCCCCATAGAACAAAACCCGAACGATATTAAACCGTTAGCTAATTTTGATCGCTACGGATGCTCAGCTTGTGTCAATAATTCATTCAACAAACCCTTTTTACTTCAATTCAATTGTAGGTATATGAGCCATCTTCTTGTAATTCTTCCACTCTTTTCGCATTGCTTCATTTGAACGTCTCGTTATTGGAACGACCTCCCCAATTAATCCTCCTTTCAGCCATTCTTTTTCACAGTAGCTATAATCACGATCCACAACATTTACAAACTGAAGCAGCCTCATTCAGTTCGACCATGAAAACACGTTGTTATTTCGTGTGCAGCTTTACTGACTGTCAGCTGTTAAAAACTGCTTTCTTTCCTGGTTGTCAACACTACATTCATTAATACTGCTCCCGGCTCACACCGACAGCAGTGCTGACGTAAAACATCAGCTGTGGTCGACGGATCGGGACGATGTTAGAATCCCATTAACATTAGGCTAACCGTAAAAAGTTTTCGTGGTGTTTCTCTCCATGTAAAGCAAATTTAGGTGAGTATCATCAGAAGGTTTTCCACGAAGGCTAGTTTGCCCTCATCTAGGAGATCCTTTGTCTTCTGGTTTGGGTTCGAAACGACAAGAAAAAGAAGTTGAACATGGATAGTCGTAAACTCAGAATTAAGTGGGCCGGTCATTCAATAAAATAAAATTGGCCCACACTATATACATTGGTTTTAATTTATCTGGCGTGTCTATTCGCGAAAATAATATGTACTTTTCATAATAATTATTTTTTTTTCAAACCAATATGCATTTTTTGTCAACTTTTTTTTATTTGTGAGATAAAGATTATTCGTTTAAACATAACTATAATAACAGAGTACTTTATAACTATAATTAGAAACTTTATGTAGAGACTTTGAAGAATGAAATTTAAAAAAAAAAAAAAAAAAAATCAACATTCTAATTTGTGGCAATATTTTTTTGAAAAAAAAATTCAAATGAATGTTAGATAAGTTCTAGAAAGAGTCATTGGACGAAAATTTTATTTATTTATATTAGAACTTATTTTAAAAGACAAATTTTGCCTAGATTTACAGTACTTTATATCAAAACAAATATATGTATTTCATTACCGTCGTTGAACAGTTGACCCAATTATGGGGTCACGACTACCAACTTCAACTCCATAGCCTTGTCATTTTGAACCCAATCCAGAAGACAAGGGAACTCCTGAATCAAGTATTGGGAAAAATTTGCCTTCATGGAGAACTTTTTGATGGAACTCATCCGTATTTGCGTTACATGGTGAGGAAAATCAGGAAAACTTAAACAGTTAGCCTGACGGCAAAGTTGATTCAACCCATGATCCGTCTACCATTGAGTATATTTTACGCTAGCACTGTGGTCGGTGCGAGCGGGGGGCGGAATTCGTATCGACCCACCATCGCTGGGATTCGAACACGGCTTACCTTATTTTAAGGAGAACTCTCTATCTCCTGAGCCACCACGACTCCATATATGTATTTAGGAGAGAGAGAAAATTAAATATACTGAATGTTCCTTAGAAATATTTAAATAAAATGAGGTGTATAGTTCAAAATTAACTGCGGCAACATTGCGACCATGACGCTTTCAAAACAAAGGAAGACTTAAAAGTTAACATAATACACAATTTTTGAAGTTAAATTTTTAGCTTTTTTTTTATGTGTAAAAATTATTTACTTTACCATCATTTTACTATCCCACATTATCCCGGGCAAATGATGAAAGTTAAATATTAGTCTTTGAATGATAGTTCTTAAAACAACGAACAACACAAATTCGAATGCGGGATTGCACGCGTGTTTTGTGCGATTGTATATACGATGGTTGTTGAATCTGCATGGAATAAAGAGTAAAAAAAAATGGTGTATCACTTTGCGTTGTCCCTTGTTTTAAAAACTATTATACAAAGACTAATATTTAATTTTTTTTTTATTTGCCCGTGGTATTTGGGATAGTAAACTGATGGTAAATTAAATGATTCTCACAAGTAAAAAAATTGAGATTTCAACTTAAAACGTGGGTATTATGTTCTGTTTTAGTTCCTTGTATTTATTGATGAAATAAAAAAAATATATGTTAATTTTTGGCATTTTTTTTTCTTCGAAACAATTGGTAATAGAAGCGGTAAAAACTTTCAATTTTTGAAAAAAATGCATTAAGGAGTGAATAAAGTGTCACCTTCCTGTCCTCCTGCAGGATGATGTGTCCCAAGAGGATGAGAATGACCAGGAAGAAGCGGCACCGTCCTCTGAGGGGGAGAGAAAAACGTCGTCAGGATCGGGGACTGTACTGTCAGAGAAACAATCTTCCGAATCAGTGAGGGAAGGAGTGCGGGGTGGAGATTCTGAGGGATGGCCAGCCACTTCCATCGGATGCCAGTCTGCTGCTGTCAAAACAATAACAATTAAGAACGAAACAATAATAATATCCCAACCACCATCCATAAACAGTCTGCAAAAATTTATAAACTTACATTCGTGTATTAGTGGGTTAAATGAGTCGATATATGTTATAAATTCAACGATTGGCTAAATGAGACGACATATTATATAAATATAGAATATTTATTATATAGAGTAATATATTAGCACATTATAATAATCAGACCAATCCATTAGACGCTCTGTAGTTTTTTTAATAATGACATGTTTTGCACGAGTTTATGGGCAATACTTTTATATTTAAATATACATGTAATGGGGTTTTTATTCAGGAGATTTTTTATGTACTTCCTATTTGCATTTATTTTTAACGTATTGCATGACAATGTTAACCCATTGGTACAGGAGTGTAAACAAATTCAAACCAGGTTCAGACGCGTAAAAATAATAAAGCTGTATAGTTAAGTTAAAATGTTTCGATTTTATTACACTATAATAAGAAATCTTTTCCCCCTGTTTTAAAATTGAAAGAATAGTGAGTACACATAGCGCAATGACATATCGAACATTCAAACTATCAAAACGCAGACAAATTATTGCGAAATGACTTTTTTACTGCCTGCTATAAGCCACGAATAGGTTCTCCTTAATAATTTTCTTTCAAAATATGGATGCTATCCTCTTCATTCTTCAAAATTCAAGAGTTTCAGTACCTTAAGTTGCTACCGGCTTGATCAATATTTCATAAATTTTTAATTGTTTTCAGTCATTAATAGGATTGAAACTAAACAAAAATAATTTGTATCTTTGCATTCGTAGATATGTAATAATCTCTGAAACGAAAAAGAAAAAAAAAGAATCGTTTATTTTGTTAAACTCGTAGTCAAAAGTTGTTCATACAGAATGACTGTTCATACAGAAATGATCTCTACTGTTATCGTTTAAAAATCGTTTTAACGATATCGTGTGTCTGCCTACAACGATATAATTGTCATCTGATTTGATGTAAAAGCGCTCTTATAAATAATCTTGATTACAAACCATGATTGCTTAAAATCATGATTACGTCTTGATTGCAGATGATGATGATGCAGCCATAATCCAACATATATTGCTTTTCGATAGTGTTCTATTTTATCGGACGACATTTATTTCGGCATAAAACTACGATTTATGATAGATGAATGTTAATAAAATTATTTAATGCTAAATGAAAGTTACTTCATATGTCTCATTCAATTCAAATGTTGATTTTTTTGTGTGCAGTCATGAATGCTAAAGAATGTATAAAATTTCCGGTAAAATTGAATAAATGACATTTTTCAACTTAACAAAGAAGAAGAGAATGTTATTTTTGTGACTTCCACTAAAAGTTTTTTTTTTTTAATTTTGTTCAAATAAAAGCTTTGAAAAATTACATTTTAGTTTAAAAAGATTTGGAGATTTTAAATTTCAGTGAAGCAACATTTAAGGAAAGTAACTCACGCGCACTGACTCTGAACTTTACTAAGCGTCAATCTATCATATATATATATATATATATATTGTATATATTATGCATATAAGTTAATTATAACTATAGAAAAAACATGTTAAAATAAAATATTTTTAAAAAAATTAAAAAGCCGGAAAACAAAATAATAAGATTACGTAATCACGTCATCAGCTCACACGATTATATCAAAAGAAAGGAAATGCATTCTAACATTGTATTAATACAGCCAAAGCAAAATACATCAAAACAATCGTGTGAGGAGTGC